TTTTTTTTTTTTTTTTTTTCACGAGGTGAAGGTAATGCTAAAATGTGTTTTGCTTGTGAAGACACGAGAAGCTGGGCTTTTTAAAGAGAGTCAGACAAAGGTTTTGATTAGTTCTGCCAAGTGATGTGAACATAACGAGAAAAATTCTGGACAAAGCAAATTACCATACCATACCATTTTATTTATAAAGCACTTAAAACAGCGACAAGACCAACCAAAGCGCTGTACAGACAGAACAACAGGCAACACACAAAGCAAAATACAAAATGAGGTAAATTAGAATAAAGATATAAAAATTATGCATATAATAAATATGATGACTAACCAGTGTGGAGCGTACAGGTTCAAAACACAGATCATCTGGTGTTGAAAGCTACTGAATAGTAGTGGGTTTTTAAAGGGGACTTGAAAACCGAGAGGGAGGGGGCCTGTCTGACAAGCAGAGGTAACTCGCTCCAAAGTCTTTACAAGCTGTGGTTTTGGAATAAGGTATACATGTGATCCTACATTACAAGTAAAACGAGTGATATAGCAGTGCAGCCAGTGTCACAGTGTGACAACAAAACATAAAAATGAACCTTTGCCTTGATTGTTAACAGACAAAACTACAGCTTTTGTTCCTGTATGTTCTTACCTCTGGGTTTGTGTGTTATGAAAGGTGCAGAGGAACAAGTTTTATATTCCCATCTTCAGTCTGTAGAGGATTCATCCTTTTATCCACCTTTCCTTTCTTCACCCTCTCTTTCCTTCTGAAAGCCCTGCTCTCATCTTGGTTGCCTCATTTATTTCATTTTAATCAAACATGTCTGGCGGCCTCTTTTTGCTTCACGTAGGTTTTGATCTGCTCAGTAGAGCAGTTGGGTTTCTGCTCAGCTCTCATACTTTGTCCTCTTTTTCCGTTTTCTTCACTTAACAAGTCTGTGTTCCTATGGTTTTGTTTTCCACCACCGCTGTTCACTTCAACGCTGGTTGTTGCTCTATCCGCCACTGCGTCATCGTTCTGTTTCCCTCTTATCTATTTTTACTATAACTTATTTGTTGTTTCATCCGCGTAGAGCTAAAAAGATAAATCTTTGCTGTGTGTGTCTTTTTTCTCCTAAAAACAAAAACAAGTGTTAAGGGTATCTCTTGGTTTCCTTACTGAGTTGCTAATCATGCAAACTATTTTAACTGGGTTCTTCACAGTGTTAAAGACAATAAAATGCTCAGTCTGCACATATAAATAGATGCTAGTTTTACATTGATTTCAGAACAGCTTTTTATCTCAAAATATAAAACTTAGGTTTATTTTTAGCTTGTGAAATCAAACAACTTAAAAGCTAGACTCATACCGTTTTTCTTGTTCGAGGGTCCAGCTGTTTAGAAATGACATTATTTCACATTGTAATTTGTATGCAACAACATATATTTTCACAGTATAATAGTTCCTTTTTGTCCGTGGGCTTCATTTTTTGTATCTCCTTAATCGTTTTTCTGATATTTTCGTTCGTAATCTGACTTTCCACACCTTCATCCTTTCTAGATCAGTGTCTTCTCCGTGTTTTTGTTTGCATCATCCCTCTCTCCATGAGTGATTTCTTTGTAGTGTGTTTAGATGTTTTTCTTATGAGTTTGAATCATGCCTTTTCTGGTAGACAGGGTACCTGGAAGCCTAGCTTTGAGAAGAAACTCTTGCGCCAATTGAAAAGTGTTGTTTTTTTTCTTTTGTGCCTCCCCCCCCCCTTCTCTAATACTGTCCATATTCTTTCCATAATAGCTTTTCTGACATTCTTTCATCTTTATGGAAATCTTTTTCCCAGTGTTGGTTTGATCTTTTTTTTTTCTTGCTCATATGAAGTTAAAACGCAGCTGCATTTGTTCTCAGAGCTCCTCCTTTACGCTGGGGTCTCACTGGATCTCCACCTGTGGCTAGGCAACCAGTTAAATTTAGAGTTAAATATGAGATGAAAACAAATACTGCATGAAAAAACAGTCTTTTAAACACCGTCTTTTGACAGGAAGCACATGATTAAATCAGTTGAGACTTATTTAGTGTCGTCTGTAAATGTTGTGAGAGAAGCTGCGAGCGCAGTCGCAGCTCTGTGTTGTCGGTGCTGTCACTAATCTCTGAGCAGCAGGTGGTTTGTGTCTTGACTGTCAGTACAAAGCAATGATGCTGTTATCTGGAAGAGATGGTTAGAACAGTAATTCAGCCATTGTTTGGAAGTAAAGGTGATTGTATAAAATATTTGTAGTTACATGCATTTTAAGCACTTTGTATGAACAGATGCTCACAAAACATTTTTTTCTTCTTTCTGTCTTTGTGTAATAACAAAAAAAAAAATGAACACATGCTGCACAAACCTAAATTAGACAGATTTATTTCACCTAGAGATGAAGTACAAATTGACAGAAAGCTTAAATTATTTCAACATTCATTGAACAAGATTCCTTCCACTTTGATTGTAGCTCAATAAAAAATCATTTGTGCTTCAGGCACTACAAAAGTTAAACCAAAAGAAGAGCAGAAGCCTCAAAGAAAGATATGATTGCTTTCATGTTCGTGTCTTTTTAGTTTTTCCACACCCTCTGTTTTCAGTTTTTTGTTTTTTTATTTAGAAGCTCTTTTACTCATTTCCCTCCCATGTCTGTCCTCTAGTCCCCTTGCTGGACCACCTATGCTCAGCCTGGCTTTACCCAGATGAAGCGCTGAAGACGTCAGTTGTGTTTGTGTGGCTTCAGCTGCTGGGGACATGTGGAGACGCAGCAGCCCAGTCCCTGCCTGTTGCCATTAGGGACAGACTGTGCACGCTGCTGCTGCAGACCTTTGCCAATGCTGGCTCAGGACAGCTCATTAAAAACTGTGCTGGTGAGACAAATATCCTTCTATTCCCAGTCACTTCTTTCCTTTTTGGGCACTGTATGCACTACTCTCACTCAAAAGGGTTTATATTTAAAAAAAAAAAAAGTGTGTTCATTTACATATATTTTGTAAGATTACCTTGTTTAACAAACAATAAATAAAGGGGAACCTCAGAATGATCTAACAAATGGATATTATTTCCCAGATTTTATTAGCTGTTTTTAAATCGTCATGGTTAACTTTGTGTAGCGATAAGATTTGTAACTTTCTTTCGTTGAACTGAAATGTATTTCATGAAGATATTGAAATATTACTGGATAGGTGATAACTGATAAGGAAAAGGCTTTAAGGAGATCTCTGACTTTTTGCACATGTTGGCTTAATACAATTTATCTCTATTCTACTAAAAGTTGTTGTTTGTGACATTTGAAAACACCTAATTACTTAAATATTTATATATTTATTACATTTTTTAGCTAAGGATGTTACCATTATGTTACCAGTGCAATGCATTCTGGGGCGATGACGTATACATAGGCAAAAAATATATAATTTATATACAGTAGTCCCTCGCTACTTCACGGTTCATTTATCGCGGACGCGCTCTATCGTGGTTTTTCAAAACAACATTGGACATGACACACAACTGGCTGATTGATGGATGAGCCGCACGATTGGCATGGAATTTTTATTTTAAATTATTTAGCACCTGCTGCACAGTCGTGCAGCTCAGAGCTGCGGAAAAAGTTTCCTCCTGCACCTTTGTGCATCTTTGGATCCTTTGGATCTGCATCAGGCAACACGTCTAACTTGTTAACGCGCTTGAAACGACATCATCCGAATGTGAACGTCTCTTCTAGCAGCTTTGTGCAAAGAGCGATAACAGCAGCATTTAAACAACCTTTATCAGGTAATTCAGATCGGTCCAGAGCAACAACACAAGCTGTAAGAGTTTTTAAAGCTCTGGATCTACTTTTCTGTTGTTGATGCGCTGACTTTAAATTTCTTGAGCCCCGCTACAACATCCCATCACGTCAACACTTCAGCCAAAAAGTTGTAGCAGCACTTTATGAAAAAGATAAAACTGATATTGTCAACAAGCCCTGGACCAGATTAAAGTCCTGATGATGATGAAGATGATGATGATAAATGGGAGATTCAGCCACCTCTTAACAACCATTCAAGAAGAGGTATTGTTCTTTTATTATTATTATCTAATTAACTTTTTTTAATTTAAAATGATATTCTTATTAACCCGTGTTTTTACCTCTTTGTGTTTTATTTCCAATCTGGGACAGAGATAGCAGCTGAGTCTTCCTGTTCAGGGAAATCCACCAGAGATCACCTCCAGCTAAAAAGTCTGTGATGAGTGAACTCTGAACTCTTCCAGGGACAGGTGGGAGCAGGTCCAAGAGGTTGTGAGTAATGAGGTTATGAGGCCAAATACAGCTACACTGCAAAATTAGCAAATCTCTACCTCTTTATTCCTGCTACCTGTTGCTAGTGAGCTGTTTTATCCACTGCTGGAGATGATGTCACTGCAACTAGATCTGTGCTTTTGGCAGAAAATGTGGAGAAGTTGGTCTTTTTGGCCAAAAACTTAAAACTTGATTAGTTAGATTGTAAACAGTCTGTTGCTGCTTATTGTTCTGGTTCTGACTGTTATTGTATTTATTAAGATTTTCATTATTGTTAGTATAGTTTATTTATTGTAAAGAGTGCCGTTTATTTAAAATATCATCCAAATGGGTCGCTTTTATTTATTTTTATACAAACTTATTATTTACTTGGCATATTTTTAAAATAAACGTTTTGTAAGTCTTCATTTTGTCTTTTTTTGTACCAAAAATGAACCGAACCGAGTCCTCCTTGAAATTGAACCGAACCGAAATGTGATTTTAGCGTACCGTTACACCCCTAATATTAAGTATTTCAGGAGATTGGCTGTGATGCACAGCAGACATGGAATAATGGGTCAGGATTGTTTTCTGTCAGAATTTAGTAAACAATGATAGATGTTGATGTGATCGACAAGGTTCCTCTTTATATCCCAAATCAAATATTAAAGACCATGAAAACACTTTGCTTTAAAAACTGACACAGTTCATCTCCTTATCCTTAAACACAGAGGTTATCAAGCTGGTAAAATGACTTGCTTGTGAGAAATGGGATTTAGTATCTCACTTTAAACATTTATTATCTTATTCTGTCACCCATTTCAATCAAATACAGGGTTAAGACAATTCACTAATACAGTGCCTTGCCAAAGTATTCGGCCCCCTTGAACTTTTCAACCTTTTGCCACATTTCAGGCTTCAAACATAAAGATTCAAAATTTTAAATTTTTTGTGAAGAATCAACAACAAGTGGGACACAATCGTGAAGTGGAATGAAATTTATTGGATGTGTCAAACTTTAACAAATAAAAAACTGAAAAGTGGGGCGTGCAATATTATTTGGCCCCCTTGTGTTAATACTTTGTAACGCCGCCTTTTGCTGCAGTTCCAGCTGCAAGTCTCTTGGGGTTTGTCTCTATCAGTTTTGCACATGGAGAGACTGAAATTCTTGACCATTCTTCTTTGCAAAACAGCTCGAGCTCAGTGAGGTTGGATGGAGAGCGTTTGTGAACAACAGTCTTCAGCTCTTTCCACAGATTCTCAATTGGATTCAGGTCTGGACTTTGACTTGGTCATTCCAACACCTGGATACGTTTATTTGTGAACCATTCCATTGTAGATTTGGCTTTATGCTTTGGATCATTGTCTTGTTGGAAGATAAATCTCCGTCCCAGTCTCAGGTCTCTTGCAGACTCAAACAGGTTTTCTTCCACAATGGTCCTGTATTTGGTCCCATCCATCTTCCGATCAACTCTGACCATCTTCCCTGTCCCTGCTGATGAAAAGCAGGCCCAAACCATGATGCTGCCACCACCATGTTTGACAGTGGGGATGGTGTGTTCATGGTGATGAGCTGTGTTGCTTTTACACCAAACATATCGTTTTGCATTGTGGCCAAACAGTTCAATTTTGGTTTCATCTGACCAGAGCACCTTCTTCCACATGTTTGGTGTATCCCAGGTGCTTGTGACAAACTTTAAATAACACTTTTTATGGATATCTTTGAGAAATGGCTTTCTTCTTGCCACTCTTCCATAAAGGCCAGATTTGTGCAGTGTACGACTGATTGTTGTCCTATGGACAGACTCTCCCACCTCAGCTGTAGATCTCTGCAGTTCATCCAGAGTGATCATGGGCCTCTTGGCTTCATCTCTGATCAGTCTTCTCCTTGTTCCAGATGAAAGTTTAGAGGGACGGCCGGGTCTTGGTAGATTTGCAGTGGTGTTGGTCTGATACTCCTTCCATTTCAATATGATTGCTTGCACAGTGCTCCTTGGGATGTTTAAAGCTTGGGAAATCTTTTTGTATCCAAATCCGGCTTTAAACATCTCCAAAACAGTATCTCTGACGTGCCTGGTGTGTTCCTTGGTCTTCATGATGCTCTCTGATCTTTGAACAGAACTCTGAGACTATCACAGAGCAGGTGCATTTATACGGAGACTTGATTACACACAGGTGGATTCTATTTATCATCATCAGTCATTTGGGACAACATTGGATCATTCATAGATCCTCACTGAACTTCTGGAGTGAGTTTGCTGCACTGAAAGTAAAGGGGCCCAATAATATTGAACACCCCACTTTTCAGTTTTTTATTTGATAAAAAAGTTTGACACATCCAATAAATTTCATTCCACTTCATGATTGTGTCCCACTTGTTGTTGATTCTTCACAAAAAATTAAAATTTTATATCTTTTTGTTTGAAGTTTGAAATGTGGCAAAAGGTTGAAAAGTTCAAGGGGGCCGAATATTTTCGCAAAGCACTATAATCCCACCTTTTTATTTTTAGATTAAAATCAAAGTCTTGGGTGGATTCAAACTTTAATCACCTTTAAAATTACATTGATGAGGGGTCTCAGTGAACTCAGGAGAAAAGTTTACTCTGGGCTGGAGATTATATAAATTTGATAAATAATAAAGGAATATTTCCTATTTTTGTCCTTGTTAGAATTTTGTTTCTATCAGTATGCCTAAATGTCACTTGCTAGTTATAAATTTGT